GCCTCCTACCTATGCAACAAGTGCTTTACCACTGAACTGTGGCCCCTTCCTTGGACATCATTTGAACTGGGAAATACTGTTTCCAGGATCTCCAATGACCTAATTTGAAGGGTCAGTTCCTCAGCCAATCTGAGGGGTGTTTTTTGATTTCCTTTTGGCCAAATGAGCTCTAAGAAATGTACTGCAAGAAATGGTAGGACAGAGCTTACACACTTTGCTGTCGTTCTTGCAATGGCATAAGTTTTAAAAAGTACAGGTACAAATCATGGAATCGCTTCAGAGATACCCACCAATCCACACAGTACTTCCTTTGTACGATTATAGGCACATACTGCTCAAAGACAATTGTGTGGAGAATATTTGGTAGCAGAAATGGGAGTGTGAGCTGGCTCTAATTCTTTTAAGGGTGGGATACTCTATGAAGTGCTTTGGTCTGTCAACAAATAGAGGGGCTCAGCTGGATGATTCTTTTGCAATAGGAACAACTTGGTTGTTATTTTACTGCTATCCCATATATTTTTCCATGTGGTAAATCAGCAAAACTGTAGCAATTATGCAAATGTGTTACAATTGTCTGTCAAAGATCTTGATCAAAACACACTTACTTATATTAAATCCCAAGTCCTGCTGCCTTAACAAGGACTGATATTCAGGCAGGTGTGTTTATAATGGTAGTGCAAGTAATCGATCCTTTTTTTTTGACCACAGAAAATGCTTTGCAGACCAAATGTCAAATATGCCAGTACTGTACTTTGAAATTCTATTTGTATGGTCAGAATTTGATTCTGAAGGATGGAAATTCACAATATGGATCTCGTGCTCACAATCGAAGTGTGAAATCAGTGGTGCATGTTGCTGAGGAAATAGTAACAGTGAATTCAGTTTGTAACCTCATCATCTCTAATAGCTGGCTTGAAAGCCTTGTCTGGGTCTTCCACATTTTGGCATCTCAAATTGTGCCTTTCAACACATTTCTAATAATGGTTTCCTTATTATTACTGTCATTTTATATATCTTATTATTTTTAATAAGGTAATATCCCTGAGTGGCATACAGTGCAACATCTGCATCAAGCAGTGATTGTCATTTACAAAGTGAAGATTTGAAAGGAAAGAATAAGATGGCCCTAGTGTTCGATATACAGTTCTTACAGCATATCAGAGACACTGGTTAGTTTATAAAGAGGAGGCAGAATGGCTGAGTCATGTGTACACACACACACACACACACACACACACACACACCTTTTTAGTGTCCAGGAAAAAATAGCTGTTTGTCTCAAGTTTCAAAGTTTCAATTCCATATGCATTTCACCATTGATCCCATATTACTATTTTGGAAAACACAATTGCACCCTGATGCAAAGCTCTTGGATGGGTGGCCTGCGGTGCTATTTCCAACAGGGAGAGAAGTTGTGGTTATATAAAGGAATGGTAATATGAATCTGCCTGTGCACCATAGTCTCTACTTCACATAATGAATTCCTGGCATAGGGCAATAGTTTGGTGACCTTATTTTTGGATTGGACCATTAGAATTCTCGTTTTACTGGTGCGAACCTCACTATGTGTGCTCATTTGAAAATGAAAACCTGCCTGCCGTTGGCACCCCACCTCCCTCTTTGTCTGTCATTTTTAACACGTTGATAGTGTGGAGTTAAAGTGAGTACTGATCTTCAGCCCATGTAAATATATCCTCAGATTCAACAAAAACAGATTCAACCCAAATCCTACAGCTTGGGAGCATCCCAACATCCCCATAATGCAGAACCCACAAAGAGTATCAAGAAGGAAAACAAGAAGATTATGTTAGATGAGAGTTGAAAGAGCTCAAGACCTCCCTGCCTCAAATCCTGCAAGGTCCCTAACACAAACCAATCATCAAATATATATTGCATTTGGAAACAGCTTGGTTTAATTGAGTGTCTTCTATTACCCTGTTTTCCTAGCAATCAGTAAAGTAATCTTTCCATTAGAAGGAAATATGACTCTTGGAATTAATTCTTTATACAGAGAGCCAGCAGGAGTGACATTTATACAAAATTAAGTCCCTGTAGAAGTGTAACAAGCAGTCTACATCTGTCTGCTCAGACACTGAGAATAAAGTGGCTCAGTGCTTTTACATTATCAGAATACAATATAAAGTGTTATTGCTGTGTTGGTTCCAGAGGAGGAGAGACAAATCAAGTAAAGGAAGAAGGGGTATCCGTTACAAGGACAGCTTCTGTTGTCTCGCCATATCCTGTTATTTTGAAGAGGGAAAGCAGAAGAAAAAAGAAGCAGGAGGCAGTCCAAGAGTATTCAAAGGAGGTTTTTCCTATTCATTTGGCATGGAGCTCAGACTCTTATTTTGTAAAACAATTCTTTATCAGTCGCTGAGAAACCAGTGCCATTTATAGTGTAACTTCTGCCTGTCTCTCTGTTGTTAAAAGCACAGGAGATTTTTAAGGGGCAGAAGGAAATGGCGATGTGATACCCAGAGCCACTTGGAGGGACATAGCCTGTGGTGATGGGGTGGGCAGTGGAAGATCTGATCCTGGTTTGGTTAATGATTCTAAACATCATTGGATTAATTTTTTTATATATACTTCAAAATAATTCCACTTTCAGGAGACTGCATCTACTGAGACAGGAGACTGCAACTACTGAGACGTGATGTAAGAAAGGCATGTATAAAGAAATGGAAGGAAGGGGAAATCATGAAGGAAAGGTACACACATAATGTGGGCTGCCAGTGCAGAGGAGCAGATGAGTGGGAGGGAAAAGGATGGAGTGCGCATGCACATTCAATTGCCTAATGGCATCCGTGTCACCAGGAGATGCAGCTGCAGAGATAAGAAAATAAAATTCATTCCTCTATCTGGAGAGCTCGCTTCCTGGTTCGCATGGAGAAGCCCAGCACCAGGAGCATGCAGCTGTATTGAGGCAGTACCAGATGTTGAAATTCTGTGCCCAACAATTTTGCACCCAGGGCTACAGCCCCTGTGCCCCCCCAAATGCTACACCACTGTAAACATGAGTAGCCAACAGTTGCAGGGAGAAGGTCAGGCAGGCCAAAGCTCAGAATGATCTCAGGCTTGCAAGAGAGGTTAATAAGAAAAGAAAATGTTTATTCAGCTATGTTTGAAGCAAGAAGAAGAACAAGTAATAGTATGTCCCTTGCGTGCAGAAGATGAAGAAATGCTATTGTGCGACAGAGAGAAGGCAGAACTGCTCAACACTCACCTCTGTCTTCACCCAAAAGCAAAGTGATGCCCAACCTGGTAAAAGCAGAATCAACAATGCAAGGAGGGAGTTGCAGCCCAAGACAGGAAAAGAGGAGGTAAGGGAACACTTAACTACTTTAAACAAATTCAATTCTCCAGGACCTGAAAAGATGCACCCAAGGCTACTAAAGGAGCTTGAGGATGTAATCTCAGAGCCTCTGTCTATAATGTTTGATAATTCCTGGAGAACAAGTGAAGTGCCTATGGACTAGAGGTGGGAAAATGTTGTTTCCATCTTCAAAAAGTGGTGGCGGTGGGGAAGAGAAGACCCAGCTAACTACTGTCCGGTCAGCTTTATGTCAATACCAGAAAAGGTCCTGGAACAGATAATTAAGCAGTCAGTCTATAAGCACTTAGAAAAGGATGCTGTGATTACTGTCATCCAGCATGGGTTCCCCCCGTGCCAGACAAATCTCTCTCTCTCTTATAGAGTTACAAGCTTGGTGGATCAGAGGAATGCAGTGGATGTAGTGTATCTTGATTTCTGTAAGGTTTTGACAAAGTCCCCCTTGATATTCTTGTGGTGAAGCTGGTAAAATGTGGGAGTTAATTGTTAGGTGAATTTGTAGCTGGTTGACTGATCAGACCTAGAGTACTTACGAACAGTTCCTCATCATCCTGGAAAAAAAACCTGACAAGTGGGGTGCTGCAGGGCTCTGTCCTGAGACCATTGTTGTGCAACATCTTTATAAACAACTTGGATGAAGGTATTCATCCAAACTGGGAGGGGTGGCAATGCCACAGAAGACAGAATCAGAATTCAAGATGATATTAACAGATTGGAGAACTGGGCCCAAACTAACAAAATAAATTTCAATAGGGACAAATGAAAGGTTCTACAGTTACACCGGGGGGGGGGAGGGGACCTGGTGTGCTAGTAGTACATGTGAAAAGGATTTAGGGGTCTTAGTTGAACATGAGTCAATAGTGTGATGCAGCTGCAAAAATAGCCAATGCTATTCTAGGCTGCATCAACAGAAGTATAGTGTCCAGATCAAGGGAAGTAATAGTACCACTCTATTCTGCCTTGGTCAGGACACAATTTAATAAGGACACTGGGAAGTGTGCAGAGAAGGGCGACCAAGATGCTTTAAGGGTCTGGAAACCAATTCCTATGAGGAATGATTGAGGGAGTTGGGTATGTTTAGTCTGGTAAAGAGGAGACTGAGTGGAAACATCATCTTCAAATATCTCAAGGGCCGTCACATGGAGGATGGAGCAAGCTTGTTTTCTCCTGCTCTGGAGCCTAGGCCCTTAACCAGTGGATTCAAGTTACAAAAAAGGAGATTCTGACTAAACATTAGGAAGAACTTTCTGACAGTATGAGCTGTTCGGCAGTGGAACAGTCTCCATTGGAGTGTTGTGGACTCTCCTTCCCTGGAGGTTTCTAAGCAGAGATCGGATGGCCATCTGTCATGGATGCTTTAGCTGAGATTCCTGCATTGTAGGGGGTTGGACTAGATGACCCTTAGGGTCCCTTCCAACTTTACAGTTCTATGATTCCATGAAATAGAGTGCAAGATCTTCTCTAGTTCTAATGTAGGTCAGGCATTTAATGATTTTGTTCTCATTTACAACAAAGGACAAACATTTGTAAATTACGTTGGAATCTCTAGGTGGCACAGCAAATTAATTTAGGAAATGAAAGTGAATTTGCATATGTCAGTTAATGTGTTGCTATTTTGGAAAATGGGGTACTGGCTTAAATCACCACCACCAAAAAACTCATTCTACTCTTTTTTTTTTTTTACAGCTGTGCTTTTCCAAACGAAAGTCTGGAATGCAGAGAACAGATTTCAATAAAATTAGGAGCTGCATATAACACAGTATGGACTTTAAAAAAGCTTATCCCAAGTCTGATGTGATTGCTATGGGCCATTGTTGTCAGAGGGTATAAAGAATATATTTGTGTCATAGAAAAGAGGCAGTAGAAGGTGGAACATAATGGGCTGCAGAAGAAAGGCAAGAGAGGATACATCCTATAGTATCTAGCAGGCTTCCAGAAGGTTTGGAAGGTGGGCCAGGGCAGTTTTAGAAGACCACAAATATGTTGCAGAGATGGCAAGGTTTATACATGGATTCTTGCGTCCTGACTAGCATCTTCTATAACCATCCTTGGATAGCTGTTGAAGGACAACACATGCCCAAGGCATCTAAGATGCAACTTTGAAGAAGACTGCTAAGAGAGATTGGATCCAGTCTACAGTTGGGAGAAATCTGCTCTTGGAATGGCTCTGCCCTTGCAATTCTTAACACATCTACAACCGTAGGGGTTGGGGAGTAGGGGATAGGTTTCATATGAAATCTCTTAGATGCTAATGGAATTTTATGTAGAAGCTCTGTGGCTTGAAGATTCATGGTTCAGAGATCAGGGGTATTAATGTTAGGTGCTTCAATGGGTTGAACTAGCACTCCTGTATTGTTTAGACGTACCAGTTGAGCAATGAAAGCCCTGGATTTGAAATGAACTAGTGAAAACAGCTGTTGATCCAGACACTGGGATATTAAAATTGCATTCAACAATGGGTATGCAGATGGAAAGCCTCCACTTTCACCTCACAGCCTCACAATAATACCTTAGTGGATGATAACAGGTTGTTTGCTCTTGTAGCTTTTACTTTACTCCTTCAGAGTTACATCACTGGGCTGCTCCATCACCCTTGGGGAATATCAGAGCAATAGTGATGATTTTTGTTTGACAAAGTGTTAATAAAATAAACTCTTTCTGATTCACAAAAAACTGTTTTGGACAAGTCTACATTTTACTCTGTGGTTTAAATACTCTATTGGCATTGTGTCCTATAATATTAGGTTTAATATATGTTTTATCACGGGGGGGGGGGGGAATCTCCCAATAACTTTTTCTCTGTCCATTTGAATTATCCAGACAAGGCTTTGGCACCATAATACTAACCTGACTTTTCATTCACTGACTGCGTACTGCATTCACATTATATACAAACTGATCAGAAAAGGTACCATCTTGTCATTATACATGGGTGGATGGCAGAGCAAAATCCTAATTGCCCAACATAAAACTAGCACATTACATGAAGAGTTAAAAATGCAGAAGAGCGTCCCTAGAAAATAGGCATTTTTTAAGCTACAGCAAGTGTTTGCGTATTCCATATATGTGTGTGTATATATGTACTATATTGGTATATAGCAGGGATGGCTATCTGGTGATTCATCAACCAATTTCATCCTGAGTCTGGGGTTGCTACCAAATTTGAATCAAGTTGTGGTTAAACTTTGCCTAGTGTTTTATTTGGAGGAAAGGAAATGTTGATTTTATGTGTGTTAATGTATGAATGCTTTTTAAATACTTCATCTCTCTTGGGCATATTGGAGCTTAGCCGCCCGGCATGGTGAAGTAGAGGTGTGCAGCGAAATAGACTTCTGGCACCTGACTGCTGTTTTAAGGATAGAGAATGTCAAAGCCATCCATCCCTGGTATATACTATCCATGTATGTATACACACAGGACATGATCCTTGCCCATGTGTCAAAAGATCTCCAAAGGGCATAAGGGAGGCCTGTTTTCACTTATTCCTCTCAGCTTGTGCAGAGCATAATGGAAATTTACAGAGAATGGGAAGTCCCTAGAGCTCGTTCATGTAAGCTCAGATGGGGGTATGGGAGGCACATAGAGACCACCCATTGCCCAGATTCCCCTAGAATGCTGCATGCACAGGGCCAGGAACACTGGCTGAGGGTTGAAACAGAGCTCTTTTAAGCCCTCTGAGTTATCCTCCATGCACACACACGGCACCCAGGCAGGAAAGGCTCATGCCCATATATATACACCTACACACACACACACACACACACACACACACCTATTTCCAAGACAGCCACATATTGCCACATGCATTTAACTAGCTAAAAACATAGAAATAGGTAAGCCTAGTTTAGTGGAAATTTCTTAAATTATATTTGAACAATAAACAGCAAGAGTAATACCGCAAAGTACTCCTCTGTTTTCATTTATATCTACAATAAACTTCTATAAACAGTTTGTCTCCCAAAAACAAAGCACCCAATAAAATAAAATCAAAAATAAAGGTAACACCCAGTGTTCTATATTTGCAAATTTCTGGTAAGTTAAAAATAAACAAAACAAAACAAAAAGAAGGGGAAAATTAACATAAAGGGAAAAAGAAGAGAAACAAAAACAGGCCCCACTCAGAGGTGCATATTTACATTCTTCAAACTGTAGCGGTGAAAAATAATTCTATTAAGTGCAGGACATTCCTAGTGTTGCAGTAGTGACATATTTAAGAAAGTCTCCATGAAAACAATTCTTTTGTCTGAAGAGTGATGCATTCCATGAAATATTCTAGCTTTGCCTTCACTTGCAGCCAGTGGCAGAGTCTGGATTGAACAGTTCCTTGTATAACGGAGGAAACAGTGTATTCACTATATCGGGATGAGATTGTTTAAATACCTGCAGTTTTTCTCCGTGCAAGTTGCAAAGTGCAGTGATGGTTGGTATCTTGGCTACTAACTATAAGACAGACAAAGAAGCAAATTGAGAGAAAGTTTATTCTTAAAGAAATTGTCTCATGAAATCCTGATTTCTAAACTGATTGGCAATTTTCTTCTAAAAGCAGCAGCTGTGCATGAAAATGACACAGAGAGGTGTGTGCATGTGATTTGGGTTGGGGCTTCTGAGTGGGAAGTGGGGTTCTACATCCTCACATTGCTGGAGCTGCTATTTTCTGGCTACCTGAAGGAGCACCACCTGCTGTACAGATTACCTGGATCTTAAGATCAACTTCAGAGGGCTTGTTTTATGTGTTAGGCCACTAGGTATGTAAGGACAAGAGTTAATGCTTTTTCAGTGGTGGCACTACAGCTCTGGAATATCCTCTATGTGGAGCCAATAGGCTCCATCTCTGGCCAGTTTTTACAGAGAACACTTTTCATTTGAGAGATTTCTAATGTTTAAAACTTTACTGCTGATGTTTCTCTCCAGTAGCTTTATATGACTGCTTTTTAGTTTTATTTATACTGGTGTGGATTTTGCTTTCTGATTTCCTCTTTCTTGTGTTGTGACATTCCTATGAGTGCCCTTGGGGCACAGGAGCAGACTATGAGCAATGGAGGGAAATATATGGAGGCACACATTCTATGCCTGTATATTTTTCTTTTCCATGGCTAATAGCAGCTGCATGGGAAAGACTTGGACCATAACATACAGGAAGCAGAAGCCCCTGGTGTCTGTATGGCTGGGGTGGCTGGCAGCTGCCCTTCTGGCACTCGTGTTGCTGGTGCTCATCAAATGATATGGGGTGTGGCAGGGAGGTGGCAAGGTCAGGAACACTGCACACGCTCAGTGATGGAAGCACCGGCTTGGCTTCCCCATGTTGGGAGAGCAGCTCTGGGGCACTGCGGCCTCATCCGCTGGCTGCTCCTGATGGAGGGGAAGTGTTGGAATTCCCTTCACCATACCAAAGACCTTATCCAAATCAGCCCAGCTGCTTTATGTTTATGAGGTTATTTTTCTTTATAAAATAAACCCAAAGCAGCCAATAATAATAATAATAATAATAATAATAAGCATGAAACGTCATAAAACAGTTCCAATTACACTGAAAACAGTTCAGATAACTGCATTCAAATTCACACAATAAAACTAAGAGCAGAATACAACAATTCATCATGAAGGCGGTGGGACAGGTCTCTGCTGTAAAATTTAATTAGAGCCTAATAAGTTTTTTTTAATAAAATAAATTAATTGTAATACAAATTATCAGAGCATGGGGATTGAAACTGAATTATTTTTCTTTTGAGTTTTTATAATGTATCTTGACTGATGTTTTAAATTGGTGGCTAACATCAGCAAGCTTGACTTGCAGTTGCATTGTGCCTATTAGCCTGTGATCAGCAGATCAGCTGGAGCGAAAAGGCATGCTTTCTAGCTGGGCATGCATTCTTCCCTTGCCTATGGGTGGGGGAAACTGCAGGGCAGGGAGACTCCGTCAACACAGCTCCAAGCCATGCAAATCCCTTCACACACTGGATGCAGCAGATTTTAAATTCTGGGGTAGATTCTAGCATGTGTGTGGAATAGAAGCCATAGCAATGTTTGAAGCTCACATGGTGAGTTCTGATGTACAAGGGAAATTCCTGGGTAGGAGCGAGAAGAACTATTTGATTCAAACAAGAAAGCCTTTGGGGGCAGGAACACTGGAATCACTAATAGCCAATCAGAAAAAGGGGGGAATTAAAATCAATATTAATTAACTGCACACTTTTTATGTAGGAGTGTCAGTTTGTGTACTGAAGAGCTACCTTTGCCAAAGTCTCATCGTCAAGATGATTCTTCTGGATCACATGTTGAAGTGCAAAATAAATCTTTTCCTGAAGCTTCTGGACTTTCCTTGGTTCCAACAGCCAAGCCCGATCTGGCCAAAAGAAATAAAATAAATTCAAATGAAGGCATAAACTAAAGCCAGAAAGATGGAAAGATGACTTGAAGCAATAGGTGTTAATAGTGTTGTGGTCCCAGTTGCAGAGCCACCCCTCCTTGTGCAGAAGCTATAGCTAAGGCATAAAGGAACAAACTCAATCAGACTACAATCTGGATTAGAAATGGACACAACTTTATTGATTCCAGATGCAGGTGGACTTTTGCTCAGGCATTGGGTGTATATCCATTCCAGCCTCCTGCTAGAGGGCTGAAACTTTGACAGAGTTGTGCCAAGGTTTATGGTGTCCCCAAGACGCCAAACTACCAAGGTGGCCATTCCCACCTGCCCCACACTTGGCTTCTGGACAGAGACTTCCACCAAGGCCCCTCTAACAGGATACCCTGAGTACACACCTGATCTTTGGTCAGGGTGATGCACCAATTCAACTGGGACCTTGATAACTAGGATTCCACCCAACGCCTTACCTGCCCAAAGTTGCTATGGGGAAAGTTGCTCATTTTGCTATGGGAAAGGCAAAACCTCGCCTGTTTGCATTTCTTCCTGGCTCCAAATATGACAACCATTAGCAACCAGAGCAAGGTCAGGTATTACAAGGAGGTAAACATGATTAAAACAAGCAACTACAATGAAAATATGGTAAAAGAAGGAATAGTAAAAAACAAGTGACTTGGAATGCAAAATAAGGTTAAACAAGACACATTACAAAAGCATGACAAGGAGGGAGGGACGGTTTGCTCTTCTGCCAGCTGTGATGACGGTGCCAGGCTCAGTCGGCATTAAAGCATCCCTGGTGGACTGTAGAAGAAGCATCTGCTTCCCAGTCCATAAGTGAGGCTCTGCTCCCTCAGGGGCCAAGGATTTGGTGGGCAATCCCATCCTGCAGTGTGTCCGGCCATGCCCACGAGTCCTGGCTGCCACGAAAGGCCACAACTGCATTCCACCCGAATAGGGTAAGTAGCCATTGTAACCCCACCATCAGGAGGAAGTGCAGTATTTTAGCTCCCCATCTCAAAAGAGCTAAGTTTTTAGTACTTGGGTTTATCTGATATTAGCTTTCACTTTAGGTGCAGGTAGCAATGCATTGAGGGGACGCGGGTGGCGCTGTGGGTTAAAGCCTCAGCGCCTAGGACTTGCTGATCGAAAGGTCGGCGGTTCGAATCCCCGCTGCGGGGTGCGCTCCTGTCGCTCGGTCCCAGCACCTGCCAACCTAGCAGTTCGAAAGCACCCCTGGGTGCAAGTAGATAAATAGGGACCGCTTACTAGCGGGAAGGTAAACTGCGTTCCGTGTGCTGCGCTGGCTCGCCAGATGCAGCTTGTCACGCTGGCCACGTGATCCGGAAGTGTCTGCGGACAGCGCTGGCCCCCGGCCTATAGAGTGAGATGGGTGCACAACCCTAGAGCCTGTCAAGACTGGCCCGTATGGGCAGGGGTACCTTTAACTTTACCTTTAGCAATGCATTCCTCTCTACCCTTGCCCTATGGCTTTCCCAGCCCCTGCAAGATGCTCACATATCACAGCTGTACTAGGCAGGTTCTGGGGATGTTTTGGAATCTTACCATCTAGCAGACCACTGTGTAAGTCTATGATTGGGACACTAATTTCTGAAACTTGAAACCATATAACTTTAAAGGACATTCCACTGAAAACAAGAATGTTTGTTTCCATTGCAAGCAATATGGTTTGAACCAATATGCTGAATGTCCTCTCCCAGTTCCTGCTCTGACTGAAGATTGGTGCTTTCTGGTTCTTGGACTAGAAATGGCATCTTTTCTGCTGTAGTTCTGAACCTCTTATTTTCTCATATGTGGAGATATTTGGCAGCGGCCAGAGCAGTCCTGGTTTAGCTGCTTTCCTGCAATTTTCATTTTTTCTTTTTATCATCCTGTTGATGAATTTCATCAAGATAATGCTGCATGTAACAGGGGCAACAAAATAATACTTCAGTTCTATCCTTGGAATATCAAATAACTGCCAGGAAAACGTCCGCAAGTTTAGTAATGGAATTGAATTAAAGTGCAATGGAAACTTTGCTGTACGATATCTAGAGTTATATGGCTATATAGTCCGTATGCCATACCTCTTCTGTATTCAAACATGCACACAGCAGCAGTTGTAACTTGTAACATCAATTCTTCTCCTTCTCCACTAATACTATTTTACAGTTTGGCATGCCTGGCCATTCCATCCTTCAGGTTTAGCTGTGCAAATTGCCACTGCCTGAAAGCCCACCTCCTTCCCTGCAGAGAGGTTTCTCTTGGTAGTTCCATTGTCCTCAGCATCTTAAAAGTGGTTGGCATTCTCTCTGGCAGTTGTGTAACTCTCTCCCCACAGAGATACATCTGGCATCTTCTTTATGCAGCTTTTGGCAAATACTGAAGATGCTGTTGCAATACAGTATACAGCTACTGACTCACACTTGCATGCATGAAAGGGTTAACTTGGGCCCTGAGCTCAAGCTGCCAATGGGTGGAGTTTAGTGGGCTCCCAGCAACTTTTGATCCCCCCTTTCCTCTCTCTGTGCTGTCTTCCTGGAAGAAAGGAGTCATGTGGAATGGCTCCCTGACAAAGAAAAATCAAGTGAATGAATCTCTCTAAAATAGATTTTACACCCTGCAGCTTTCCTAAAGCTTGCACAATCCTTTTGTGATGAAACCAAGTGCTTTTCTTTTAAGTCATTTGGATCCTTTTTTCTTCTTTGCTTTTCTTCCTGTGGGTGGAGACTTTTTTTAGCTGTAACTCCTGAAACTCTGAGTAACCTCTTCAATTATTTGGAAAACTAAATGTCTGAGTTATTCTAGTATTTTCATGCAGATTGTTTGTTTAAAGGTTGATGAGGTGAGATTTAAATCTGACCAAGTTTTAATGTGCCTGGTAGCTATGAGAGAGTAAAAAATATCTTCCAAGCCTCTTTCTCCAACAGCTGGCTGTTGGCACCTGAGATGTATATCTTTTAGGAACCACATCATTTCTGTGATTTCAGGTTGTTTTCAACATTGTGTTTTAATTGTTGTAACCTAACAACAACAACAACAACAACCTACACTGGTTGTTCAGCCGCTGCTCTCTGCCATGTGAAAAAGCAAGAGTCACCAGGTTATGTGCTGCTGTGAAGCACTTTAAAAAACCTGCCACATGAATCAGGATAAAATTACCCACTATGCAGAAGCACTGCAATATAATACACTATGGTAAAGTCCAAGCCATGCAGTAGGACAGTGTGGTCAGTCTCCAGCTAGCATGCCAACGGTTTGGCGTGATGGCACCATCCATCACCATCTGGCCGACCATTGCTCATTCCTGCTCTAGCACATATTTACCCAAGTTTGTTCCTGTAAACTTCAGGGATCATGTAGCCCAGCTTCAATGCTTAACCTCTTCAGTTGTAATTTTTATTGAATTACAGGCAAAATACAAGACAGATCAAACCCATTCAGTAATTTAACGTACGCACTTATGTGAAGAACAACAGTAATCAGCATAGGCTGAAAAGAACAGGAAATAGTGAAGTTTCTATGGGACGCAGGTGGGAAAGTATAATTTGTTGAAGATAACTACCTGGTGATATCAGAACAGCAGATGAAAACAAGGCAATTTCCTCCTCAGTCAGCTGCAAGGAACATAAATTCTTTGCAAAGTCAAATGCTTCATTCACGAGGTCATCAGAACCTGTGTGCAGAAAACAAAGTCAACATAAAATCATATTGCTTCACATGTAATGTTTTCCCAGGAATATTATTGTGATCAAATGCATGCATGTGTCCATAATGAATGGGCATCAGTTCTCTTCCATTTCCCTTACATCCAGGCAGTGAAACATATATATCATGCAGAAGAACCAGTCAATTTCCTACACTAACAACACATACATTCTTGGTGCTTAGAGATAGTTATGAGGAAAAGTAGTTTCAATCTTCCCTGAAGAGCTGCTGATTGAGATCAGAACATTAGCATGAGTACATGAGAACTGAGGATATTTTCTCTGGGGTCTGTAAGGGATCTTCAGCAAGCATGGCTTTCACTGCTATCGTACTTCAGTGCCAGGACAACAGGCCACTTGTCATTTTTCTTATAGCCAGGCCCATTTCTTGTGCAAATGAGAAGCTAACTGAACTATTGCCTTTGGGCGATTTATTTGAGGCCTTATACAACTTGCCTCATATATATCCTAAAGATACAGCATTTTGAATCCAGAGTTCCTGTGAGTGAAACTCCAGTCATGGGAAGTTCCTACTGGAAGAAGTTGGTTGTATTTTGTTGATTCCTCCTTTCCATCTGCAACCTCTGAAATAACTGCTAAAGAGCATCATACTCTGATGAACATGGTAGGTTGGAGGGGAGGCTTAAGGGGGAACTGGTAAAAATCATCTTTATTCAGTGGGAACCTTAGCTGAATCTCATGCTCTTTCACAAGTTCTTCCATCTTTAGAGGTAACTCTGGATCCAACCAGTACCCTTGAGTATGCCAGAAAAAAGCACTGGATCCAACCTCGTGGAAAACTCAAAAAGAGAAAGAACCAACTATTGTGCCGAATGCTACAGAGAAGGCTAGGTATGTTTTCAGTTACTTTTCTAATCTTTCTGTGTGATGAGTTATAGTTTTACAGTAGGTTATCAGTTGTTGCCAATTCAATAGTCAGAAAAGAACTCCTCCCACAAGCCCAATTGAAACATAACATAACATAGAGCAAAGAACTAAGTGTGATATGAGGTTCCAGTCAAATATATAGTTGTATGTGCTTATTTACTCGTTTAAAGCACTTTTACTCCAGTCTTTAAAAGAAGAAGACGAGACTCCAGAGTGGCTGACAAAGTTCAGAGATAAGAAAAAATTCCAACTCATTTCCACCGGAGTTTAATGTATACACCTGTGCCTTGTATTGTGGCTTAAATTTATTTGGCACACTTATGAAGGTACACTTATAAGTGGATACTAATATAATCCCTTTTCATGAATCAGCTTTACCTTATGTTCTTGATCACTTCACGATTATTATAATTTTACTCTGATTACTCTCACAGTTTATATTTGAGCATTGATTTTGTTTCTGCCATACAATAGTAATATAAAGGAGGCTCACAAAAAGATATAAAGCAGTGAAATACAACAGTACAAACAGGACAGCAGCATATTGGCCCAGTATACCTGAAGGAGAATCACCACCCCCATTGTTCAGCCCAGACACCTCTGAGGGCCTTCTGGTGGTTCCCTCCCTGCAAGAAATGAAGTTACAGGGAACCAGGCAGAGGGCCTTCTCAGCAGTGACACCCTCCTTTCAGATGAACGCCATTCCTTCAGATGTCAAGGAGATAAAGAAATACACAACTTTTAGAAGACAGCTGAATGCAGCCGTTTATTAGGAAGTTTTTAATGTTTGATATTTTCTTATGTTTTATATGTGCTGTAAGCCACCCAGAGTGGCTGGGGAAAACCCAGCCAGATGGGTGGGGTACAGTTATTATTATTATTATTATTATTAGTCAAGGGTGGTGCAATTAAGGGCTTATCCACACTTACCTCTGCCTCGCTCTTTCCAGGCACAGACCTGTGCTTTAAAGCTCTGTGTCCATGCATTTTTTTCTTGCCCTGAGCTTCCCTGTGAATACTTGGTGTTTAGTACTCAGAGTAAACATCAGTTCAGGTTTTCCACCTTCAGTGTACGTTAGCATCATTTTTATACCTCATACAGTAAATAAAAAACTTAAGCGGATCCAAGCCCTGATTTACAGTCTTTCTCCTTTGCCCTTTTCCCAAATCTTAATGTGGCATTAATGTTTCTCCGAGCTCTATTTACCCAAAGGGCTGGAGAAGAAGCATCTAAAATGATGATTACACAATCAGAGGTTCAGATTAATGAGAGTGTTATTAACCTATGAGCTCACTTATATGGAAACAAGCAGTGCCTGGGGAATAACAGTGAAATCTAACAGATTCTTTTCATTTCAAATATCTTCAATGGTGATGAGTTGATACTCATTTGATAATATATGGCTGCAGGTGCCACCGTTATATACCCAGATCACACCACAATTTTATGGCTTGAGTAAACAATGAAGAAACCACCCTACCCAAAGCCTTGAACATTTGCATCCCTCCATATTTTCCTTCAAACAGAACAGTGTTGTTGAGTGGATTGAAGGCACGGCACATTCTGACTAAAACCACTTCCAAGCAGCCTGGAAAGACAGTAAAAGTTACTGTACAGATATATCATGATGAGATATTTGCATTCAACCATTTGCTGGAAGCAAACAACCATTTGCTGGAAGCAAACAAAATTCAGAAACAAATTCTTATTCCTGATCTCCACAGCTAGATGCAATGGCTAGTGCAAGCCAGCCTGCAGCTCTTCTTTTGCAATTGTGGGATTTCGGTAATATTCTGTGAAAAAGGCAGTGAATGAGCGGATGAGCTGCTTCTCCCCTGTCACAGAAGGGAGAAGTCACAGAACTACTCTAATTTAATCATAACAGTGCTGGCTGAATATGCATGGAAACAGTATTGGACTACTCAGTTGTGAGAATGTATTGTGGACCACCAAGCCCTCGCTTTGCCTACTTTTGAAGTTGAGGTTGTCTTGCAAAAGTAAAACAGTCCAGCATGCTTTGCTCCAAAAATCCCCCCTCCCCATCTCATTAAGAGAAAAAAGAACAATTGAATATAATTTTAAACCAACAAAATATATGTAAAATATTGTGTTCTCTAAACACTTTCATTGCATTTATTTATTTATTTTTGATAGGCATTGGAAGAAAAAAAAACAGCATTAGAAGATAGCTGCTTAGCTGAAGTGATGATAATGCAGTTCTGTAGTGAAGTTGATTTTATCAGTCTTTTTTTGTCCTTTTTCCAGCTCAACATTATTTGCAGGGCAACCCTATCCATGTCTTTTCAGAAGTAAGTCCCACTGAGTTCAAAGGGTACGAGCATTTTAAACTCTCACTTCTACTCAGGTGTAAGGGGGTACAACGGGATATCCTCTGTACATTTAGGTCAAAGTCAAATTTTAGGCATTGTTTAACACTCCAGCTTTTTCAGTGACATAGCATGATGTCCCATCTGATACCCTGTTTGAATCCTGAAGCTGATTTATCAATGTTTCTGTAAGCTTTGGTAATTCTGTTCCTCAAATACTGCTGTTAGTATTCCCCAACCTGATCCCCTCCAGAAGTTGAGCTACAACTCCCATGAGCCCCAGCCAGCTGTTGTTGTTTAAAACACCTGGAGGGCCCTTGGTCATGAAGCCTAATGGAAACACTGACACCATCCCACTTTACTCACCTGATTTGAGAAGTAGAATTTGATCATTTTGACAGAGCTCCATGAAGCCTGTTATCCGCTTTGCAAATTCCACCACGTACTGAATGGCATGTGTGATCTGGATTGCACACTGCTGCCATAATGCTTCTCTTGACTTCCAGAAGAAATGTGCGTGCAAAAGGAGAGCAGATAGTAATCATAAAGCAAGTTGATCCTTCAGACATGAAATGAATGTGTGCTGTTCAGCCACATGATCAATAATATATTGATGACAATTACTCATGTGATAGGTGCAGATCCTATGGTTACCGAAGCAATAGGTGGTATTCAAGTAAGCTTTACTTCAAGTAGACCCACTGAAATGTGTGACATGACTTAAGTATTTTAATAGGTCTTCTCAGAAAAACTTAGTTGAATACCACCCATTGTGCAGATGCTTTAACCTACTATGATAATTACTAAGTGCATAAATTAAAATAGCAAGAAAAAATAAGACTGTTTAATAGGACTGTTTTGTGGTGTTAAACACAAAAACATTCATGTAAGTCCAGGGTGCAAATTTCAGGGTGTACTCACTGCTGAATTGACCTCCTCTGAGGAACTCCATAGTGCAACCACTCCCTGCCCAAAGCAGTGTGATGTCAGTGCTGTTCTGCTCATTGGCACTGACAGCATCACTTGCCAAAGAACAACTGGGAGCAAATGAAAATGCTTCGCCCAATGTAAACGGCCGCACACACCTGTCAAAGCAGTCTATATGTTGGATCCAGTTTCCCACCCCTGCTCTAAGGTAGAGATGTGCATGTCTCACCTGGTTTCTGGAGAATGTGCTTTTTCCTTCCCATTAGGTTTATTCAGACTTTTTGTCCAGTAAGCCCCTGAACTTCCACCAGCAGATCGAGGGACATCTGAGTCCATCAATCCCTTGTATGCTTTCTTATCTGAGTGGAGGAGGATCCACACCAACATCTCATAAAAAGTCCCTGACACATGTGGGAACTGCTAATTTTAGGGAACAACACGAATCCACCAATGGGACTCAGTTCCCATGTCTTTTCTGCCATGTTCCCTCACAGAGCTGAAGAGGACAAGGAGCAAAGCCCCAAGAGTGGCTGATGTAACCTGCTTGAGCAAGGCTTGTTCTAACACACGAAGCATCTTCTTGCTCCAGTGCCTGTTTATGACTGGGTTCCTCATGCAGTGCTTGTGGGTGCTCTGGAGTCCTCAGACTCACCCCTTGGCATCCATTGAGCCAGCCTTCCAGCTGGCTGCTAAAACTTTATTCTAAAAGGAAAAGGGACCCTGCTGCTACTGGGTAAGGGATGTCCTATTCAACAACAACAATAATTTATTATTTATACCCCACCCATCAGACTGGGTTGCTCTGGGCAGCCTCCAACTTATATAAAAACATAATAAAACATTATCATTAAAAAACTTCCCTATCCAGGGCTGCCTTCTGATGTCTTCTAAAGGTTGCATCCCATTGGCTTGGGGAAGGGGGTGTCACATAAATGCCATACCCTCCAACATTTCTCCATTGAAAACAGGGATGTCCTAAGGAAAAGTAGGACATTCCAGTATCAAAGCAGAAACCGGGAAGACTTCTGTAAACCTGGGGCTGTCCCTGGAAAATATGGACACTTGGAGGGTCTGTTATTTTATTTGTTTATTGGATGTGTGTGTTGGTGTTTGCAATAGTGCTCCACTGAATTCCTCCCTAAGACTTTGCTCCTGCTTTAAAATGCCATTTTTCAAAAGTGCTGTCCTCAAGTGTGGTATCCAGCAATTAATTGGCAGAAATAATGCACTAACAACAGTGATTAGGGAATGAGTAATAACAACAACAACAACAATAATAATAATATGTATGCTGCCCATCTGACAAGAATATAGAAGCCTAATACAGTGAGTTGTGTTTTTGGTACCTTGCTCTGGTATTCTTTGACTTCTTCATATGTGTGGGTTTGCCAGGCCAGCTGGTGTAGTTCCTCTATTGTGTACTGACATGTCTCCAAATGGGACTTAATGATATTCTGTGCAATTCGGTCTAAGAAAGAGGAACAAAAAGGAAGAAACTCTGCTTCACAATCATTATTATTTTAAATATACTTTGTTTTACATTGCTCTAAACATGTTTTCTTATGCTAAGAAGGCAGGACAGAATTAAATAATAATGTTATCTAGTAATACTAGGATAATAGTAAAGATGAGGGTAACAATAGCCAATCCTTTACTGCAGTGACCATACTATGAGCTGGCAGCTGAACAATAGTCTCAAGAACACTTTCCCCATTGCTACAACACACCGGGCACTTTTTTTTAGTGGTACTGTACTCCACTGCCAGGATCACATTTTGGGGAATACTGAATAAACAATTCAGAGTAATGTAGAAGCAGCAATTTATTACTTGCACTTTCTATTACCTAATTTGTCTTTGCAAGGGTCAAATAACATAATCCGATAATCAGCCAACAACAAACACAAATCTTTGGTTGTACATCTTGCTTGAACATCACTCCTGTGGCCATAAGGTGATGGCAAAACAGCAACTAACAGTAAGTACATGTGGAATGCAAGTGCGGCAAAATTGAAGTGGAAGAGATTCAAGCCCATATTGGGGAATGTAGACTTGTGCATTTAAGTGGACGAAACTGCTTTATCCCCACCATGCAACAAATCCACTTTAAAAAAGTAACAGACTCTTTTGTGGTCAGGAAAGTAATGGGGAAATGCACTTTTGAAAAGGGTGGAATGAATGAATGGCTTATAAACACCCCAAAAGGAAATCAGGATAAATTCAGGAAGCTTGCTCCTTGCAAATCAATAAGAATGAATGCTCAATAAAAAATTGATATACTCTAACTTCTACAAGCAAAACAGGATGAATGCTCAATATATAGGTTGTCTGCAGGAGCCCTGGAAAAGAGGGAACGAGACATTCTGCAATATAGTACAATAGCTATATTCTACCATATTGCACAACTGCTGAAAAAGCCAGTAAGACACAACAAGGACACTCAATATGAGCTGAGCTGAGCTGAGCTGCTTCTCTGCTCAAAATGGCACTTGTTTTGCCATTTTGAGCAGAAAAGCAGCTCAGCTCAGCTCAGCTCATGGATCTGGAAGTATGCATTATTTAATTAATCCATTTATTTAAAATATTCATGATCCAAATATGCATAGCAGTATAAAAGAAAAATAAATAAAAATTATTAATACCAAGTACAACATGTGTATGGAGAAGCAGCAAAAACTATAAGGCACAATGAAGCAGAATAAACATTAAAAATTCCATGACAAATAAAAGGTGACTTGGCTTAGCACTGAAAAGATTTTAATTATGGCACCAAAGATCAGCTTGTATAACATACTTCCACTAAAGAAGGCACTCAGAGAAGAACCTCAGATGAAGACTTTGAAGACATGGGCAGACTGTTATGGGAAGAGTTGTTCCATTAGGCATTTGGGTCCCAAGCCATTTATGAATTCAGTGGTAGGTGCCAGCTCCTGGATTTGGCTTTGAGGTGAACAGGCAGACAATGCAGTTCTTCCAATAAATTGTATAATCCAAATCTACTTGGCTAAACCAGCCAGAATTTTGTAAGCCAAGTTCTACTTCAAATCATCTTCAGGGACAACACCACTTGCGTGTCAAGGTCCCCAAGATACTCCCCCCCCCAAAAAACCCCACACACATCACATAGAATTTTTGTTTAAGGTTTTTGGCATAATTTTGGCCACAACTTTATTAACATACATGGATGTGAGTGGTTGCTTAGGCATTGGTTAGGACTATCTGTCCCCCTGCCTGGGGACAGAACTGACTTCTGGATTCCAGCGAAAGTCAGTAAGGGGAAACAATATTGGGAAGAAACTGGAGCTGTGCCACGGGCCCTCACCTTCTCCCCGCATGTTCCCAGGGGTTCACGTGGGCCAAACTCGATTCCAGGGATTTGAACGAAAGCATGGCAAGCCCCTGAATTCCTTTAATGGAATTCCCTTGCAGCAGCAGCATTGGAGGGGCAGGGACAGCCAATCCTTACCCCTCCTCCAACCAATTTTTAACCAATGCCTAACCGCAACCTTACAAGTTGTGACGATTTGCTACGCAGTAGGCAAAAACCAAATGGCACCGGCCAATCAGCCAAATGGACAAAATTCCTACCAGGCCCCTGCCCCAACGGCAGACGACCCCATGACAGGCATAGCAAGGTCAACGCACAAGACATAAAATAAGGGAGGGAGGGTGGGTGATCCGGTGCACGCAGCGAAAGAGAAAGCTGAATGCTGTGTGCACTGCTTTAAAAACCTCTGTTCCCTCCCCCAAATTAGCAACATCAAAATTACCCCAGCAGCTCAAACTACCAATCCCTGCCAGAGACCAACCATCCCAACCCGCCTGGCAACAGAGGGGTGGCTTGGCTGGCCCCCACCGCAAGACGTGCTCTCTTTTAATGAGAACACACTATACAAGACAGTACAGAAATCCAGCTGGGAGGTCCCAGAGCAGGGATCACTGTCCCAGGCAACCCATGTAGATGGCAGGCAAGAGGCACTCAATGGCACTGAGGATACCTGGACCGCCAAGGCCCAGCCCCCTGTATAGGCAGGTTTGTGTCCCATAAAGACTGTAAAGTATAGACACATATTTTAGGATCTGTGGTCACTGTGAGACCAAGTACCATTCTAGTTTCACCCAATGCATCCTGCGAAGTGATCCCAGTCACTTCACATGCTTCTTGTAAAAGGACAGATTTCCCTATGGCAGCAATGTAGGCACAGGTTCACATTCACAGTGCGCATATGCACACCTTGCTACACATGCAGCCAGTCTCAAATGGATCTGCACTGATAGTATTTTGTAAATTAAAATAATCTCAATTTTTGGTAACAGGGCAAGATGTTGAAATTCCAATCAAACCTCCAAAATCCTGGCCATTGAGCCACTGCATACAAACAGCTTTCCAAGCAATAACAGAAATCATGTGGAGAATTCCAAGCAACCTCCACAAAGTAGCCAAAACCACTTAACAACCACCTTGCACTATTATTGATTGGCATAGCTAATATTTTCACCTTTGAAGCACTGCTCCTCTTAAACTATTTTGTCTCATAAATGTTAGTTATCTTGAAATAAGTTGGTTCAGCAGCTTTTGAAGTTAAAGCCCTCTGCCGTGCCACATCATAGCTTTCTGTGCATGTGCCCCTTGTTCCTCAGGATGATGGCAAACCTCCATCTAGGTGTGCAAAGCCGCCTTAGGGTGGGCAGCAGAAGCAGCCGCTGCCAGCAAGGCTCTGTGTGCTGGCATCTGAAAGCAAGCCAGGTGCAAAGGCAGACTTGAGATTCTTGTGCCGCAGGCCAGCGGAGCTGGAATGTATCAAAGAAAGGCTGTGCTTGGACTCAGGGGACCCGAGTCTGACAGCTCATTCTGTGGGCTGATTAGAGTTACATAAGCATCGGAGGCTGCTTGCTTGCTTAGTTGGCATTGATGAAAGAGAGAAAGGGATTAGTCTTCGAATGGAAGACAGTGGGCTGAAAGGTCTTTTGAAAAAGCCACAAAAAAGCTAGAGATGAAGAGTCCAAGTTAATGCGAGCTTTTTCATAGACTAGCCAACAACAGAACACAGGCCAGTTAAAGTGGGTGGGCGGGTAAGAGGAGCAGAGATCTGTTTTTACCCAGACACTTCAGAATGAATGCAATTTTCTATCCCGTCAAGAGGCCTGGTGCCTCAACCAATAAAGTCTCCATGATCCATATTTCCTGCTATTCAGAATCCCCACGTTATGTTGGCCATGGAGCATGCTCACCACAAAACTTCTTGTTCACTGGTTAGAATTACTTTCTTTATGTAGAACTACAGCAGGTAACACTCAAATTATTTTCTTCAGATCATTTGGATGAGTCTTCACTAATCAAATTATTATTTTCCCTTTCCTTCTTGGAGAAGAGTATCCCTTTCCCAAACACAGCTAGTGAGGAGAAATGGAAATGCTGAGAAAGGAAGAAGGAAACGTCTCTTCCAGAGGCAAAGTGGACAAGGAGTGTGGGGAGGGATCTTAAAGATCATCCAGTCCGCTGCCTCTTGGTGGGGCACTCCCTGCCCCAGTGAGCCCAAAATATGGGGTTTGGTGGGGCAAGCTCATCCCGGTTAAGTACGGGAACACCTATCTCTTCATCAAGCAGAGCGTCAGGCATCTCCAGTTTTCTGCATTTTTCATGTGTGATCAAACTTAACCAGTATGTCTCTGTCCTTATTTCTCTCCCCCTCCCACCACAATCCTCTCAAATTTTATTCTATTGTTCTCGTACACTAGTTGTTTCATTTTGCATTAATTTCATCTCATGGGTCACAGTGCTAATATCAGAAATTATGGATGGATCTACACTTAAGGTTTTTAATGTTCAGGAAGGGTTAAGGAATGGTTTGGATAACGTATATGGACACATAACGTCTTACTTTTAACATTCATAATGTGTTATTAAAATGTGACACAAGAGGGTGGTGCAGTGCAACCAGCAGTAGGGAGACAGCATTTCGGTGAAAAAAACAAAGGTAATAAATGCTTTATTTTACAAGTGATATTTTAGAGCAATATATCTAATATGGTTCTAATCACATTAAATAGGTCAGTGTAGATCCAGCCTATGTTGCCATTTGGGGAAGGAAGGGATTTTACATTATATTCAGCAGAGAAACAATTTATGACTGTCCTTTGTGGCATTCAGTAAAAAGTGACCTGGGTTCACATTTTTCATACACACCAATTCTTGCATTTCAATTTTTATCCAAAATCATACCCGTGAAATATAAAGTACCAAGGATTTATAGTATACCTGTATCTACTCATAAGGGGCGTGGGTGGCGCTGTGGTCTAAACCACTGAGCCTCTTGGGCTTGCCGATCTGAAAGTTGGCTGCTCGAATCCCCATGACGGGGTGAGCTCCCGTTGTTCGGTCCCTGCTCCTGCCAACCTAGCAGTTCAAAAGCACATCAAAGTGCAAGTAGATAAATAGGTACCGCTCCGGCGGGAAGGTAAATGGCGT